AGAAAGGGGTAAGTATTAGGGAAGTGGAAGAGATTGGATTGCCAGAGGTAGAGACAGTAGGACAAGGGTGAGAGGAAGATGGGGTGGTGTGGAGTGAAGTAGTTCTGTGTGTGGTGGGGGGTGAGGGGAGGACAATAAGGATGAAAAATATTAATAAGGGAAGAGGAGGTAGACAGTGAAGAATCTTGTGCAATAGATGAGAATATTGAGAGAGAGGAAGGTTGAGTAATAAGCTGGGTGGTTGGTTTGGAATAGATGGAGTTGTCAGTAAACATCAATTAGGGGATATTAGCACCAGTGGTTGGAGCTGTGTTCAAAGGAGGGGCAGGGATTGGAAAACAGTCAAAATTCAATTCAGATAGCCTAGTTGATGAAGGGGCAAGCCTTAATGCCCGTCTCCTAAGCCCTCCATCCCCCTGTGACAACAATGAGCATGGTATAGGGGAAGGAAAAGGAATATAAAAAAGAAGAAAAAATGCATACTTCATATAAGTAAAATAAAATAATTAAAAAAGGAAGGACAAAAATAAATAAATAAGTAAATGAATAAATAAATGAAAAATAAATAAAAAAAGCCTACCTTACTTTGTTCCTTGCCTCTGTTGCTTCTATATCCGCAATCAGAATCCGAGTCAGAATCTGATGATATCACAATACCACATGAAGCAGCATGTGACTGGATCTTTGATGGAGGGAAGAAATCTGAAGAGAAATGATGGTACTTTTGAGATCTACACTGAGAACCCCCAAATTTCTGAAAATTTATCTGAAATTACATAAGAAATTATACAATAGCTTTTACAGTTACCTGAACACAATGGGCACTCCATCATTTTTGAAGAGTGGCTCTTGCTTGAAGTTGCAGATTGTGTGTGGTCTGGGCTGCCTCCTCTGGACCTTTTCCTGGCCTGTGTTACTCCAAACTTGTCAGATGGGGCAGTACCCAATACATTACCAGACTCTGTATCTCTAGAAACCACTACTGAAGTTTTAGCAAAATCTCTTCCTTGTGGATCAGCGTTACTCCAGGGCGTTACATCATCCATAAATCCTCCTCCTTCCTGCTTATCATTCACATCATCATCACTGTCAGTCCAAATAAGGCCACTGTTTATGTCATCTAACTCCTTGGAAAATTTCTGAGAAGCTTGAGCTGAATAAGAGAAGTCAGGCTCTTCTCTCTTTCTTTTGGCCACTGGTGTTATCCATGTATTTACTGTTGGTTGTCTACTGTCTCTCATCTTTGGGGTGACTGACTTCTTAGGCCGGCCCTTTGGTCTTTTGGGAGTGGTAACTTTGGCATCAGAGAGAGCCAGCTCATTACGAGACAAACCTGAGGGCGACTGAGTTTTGAGGTCATCATCACTCTTTTGTTTTTCTTTCCTGTTGACTGGTGACTTCTTCAGTAATGCTAGAGAACTTCCAGGAGCTTCTATCTTTTTAAACGTAAATTTTCCATGAGAATTCTGCTGTACAGGGAGATTAGCTGGCTTGGTTGTTTGTTTGCTTGTAGCTGCTAATGTTTTTCTCTTCTCATTACTGTTTTGGCTTGTGTTCTTTTTTGGAATGTTACCTTTGAACTTATTTTCTTTTTCTTTTACTGACTGTTTCTGTTGCTTCATTGCTGTACCTTTGTTCTTCCATGTATCACTTTCAACTGATTTTTCAATTTTCTTTTCTAGACTTTCTAATCTATTCTTCGCATAATCCAAAGCAATATCTTTAAATATGATTTTTTCATCATGGTTTAACATTTTCTGCCTACGCTGTTCAAACTGCTGACGAACACCTTCAAAAATAAAGAAACATAAGTTTTACTGAATATCACAATAATTTAGGCAGTAACATTATTTTTCTATATAACTATAATCAAAATGACTATTTGACCTAGTACTGGATAAAAAGCTCCACAAAAGTCTTGTTTATCATATAAAACAAGCGATTCTAATTAATTTCCCTCGAGAATCCCAATCAATGCAGAATGCATATTATTTCTGTATAAACATTGACTCAAAACACAGCCCAAACACAAATAGGGAAATAACATTAAAAGCAGCAAACAAATATGACAATACTTACCAGATACTTTTAAAGAGTTGATTTCTTCAATTTTCAAGTTAAGAGATATGAGGAAGTCCAGAGCTTCACATTCCAGACTGGCCTTATGGGATGCCACACTCTCCTTATCTGAAAGAAAATTATCTGACAAAAGGAAAGAGAGAATACAAACATCGTCTGTACTATGAATCCCAATAACCATCATCGTCACATAGTAAAAATACTAACTGGAAGTATGCAAAGAGCACATACCTTCGCCAAGGAAAGAGGGTCACTGATGCAATAAAAATATTCACACTTGAAGAATTACATTAAAATTACCATTCTCAAGTACACTGCTGACGTCTGTAAACATAACCTCTTTGGCGGAGGTGATAGAGGTAAAGGTAATGATGATAATAATAGTTCCTGATGCAATCATTAAAAAAATTCCTGGATCTGGATCACTAACAAAATTTATTGGAATCTAAGTTATGCTAAGACACACCTCAGGTAAAAATTTCATTAAAATTTGTTTATAACTTCCTGAGTTATCCTGCTATCCAACAAATAACAACAAACTAACCAATACAACCAAAATCATAAACTCCTTGGCAGAGGTAATAAAAATAATAATTATGAAAAAAATAAAAATGTCAATAACACAAACACACACACACACACACACACACACACACACACACACACACACACACACACACACACACACACACACACACACACACACACACACACACACACATCTTTTATATATAACTCCTACTTGCTGGCTTTGTTGCCATGACCACAAGACGAGCTGCTCGAGAGACTGGGGAAGTGAAGGGATTACTACCATTTGCTTCTTCACCATTTGTCAGCACTTTATTCTCAAGCCAACCTATGCTGTAAGAAATATAATAACTAATAAATAAATACTCAATGGGATATCAAAATGTTCTGGTTAGGTAAATAAATACTAAATAATTTTTTTCTTTTCAAAATTATCCTTGCTTCTGTCCTCTCAAAATACAACAGAATATTTGCGTCTCCATTTCAATGAAGTGCATCATGCTAATTCCTTCCAATTTTTGCATGTATTTTGCATCACATATACCTTTGAGACATAACTTTCTTCTTTACAGTTGGAAGGTTCATTCTTGAAACAAGTTCTTCTTTCTTCGTGTCTGAATGTGTTCCTTGAGGTGGAACACGTTGTGGGTTAAGTGATGACACTTCCTCCTGCACATGACTCTGTAACAAACAGCCACTGATTCACTTCTCTCTCTGCTCTTTTTACCATAACATGGCAACCCTACTTTATCATATTTGTAAAATCTGGGTATGTCAAATGAGATATTAGCCATTACTTGTTTTTGTTTCCATAAGAAATGAGCTTATGGATAAACAAACAACTACTATCATGCTACCAGATAATAACTAATATTTAAGCTCATTAATAAGTTACACAAAAGTATTTTTTCGTTACTGCAATAATTTACTGTAATAGAAAAATCACTTACATCTTGATAATAATTAGGGAACTTGAAGTGTAATTCTTATGTGATTAAGCTTCTTAGTATGCTTCCAAACATATTTACCTCATCAGTGGTGTGGAGGCAAAATAGAGCCAGTCCAAACTGTGCATCTTTTCGAAAAGGCTGAGTGCATATAATTCTAACACGATCCCACTTTTCTTTGACTGCATGCTGATCTAAATCCTCTTTCAAATGAAAAGGAGCAGATATATTAAGAAATAATGAGAAAAAAGTGGATCCTAAGGCACATTTTAGATGCAATACCTGAAAATATTAGTTTGAAAAAGCACAATGTGACAAGAATTATCAAAATCTTTGCAATTATATATTTACTTTTATGGTTGTTGAATCTTTCTAATATGATTCAAATTAAATTAAAATAATAACAGTATTATTTTTCCTGTATCTTTAACCTTTTTTCAGGATCTACATGTATTACTGCTTATACCTTTTTTGAACATGCGGACCGTTTTGGAATTCTTGCCTGCACGCCATTCTGCTGGAGTCATTAGTGCTACTGTGGGCAGTAGTGCCACAAAGGGCTTATCTGAAGGCCATGAAGAACGACCAACTTCAATGCTTACCATCACACTCCCAGCATTCCCTATAAGATGTGCAAAAAAGGAATTTCTGTTTATTCTTTGTCCTTTTTTTCATCGGATGTATCATGTACAGCTACTTCTACTGCAGTTTGATTTCCCAAAATAGATGCATATTGTTAACATGAAATTGTCAAGAGGAAAAACACAGTTACCAAGGTCAATATAAGATATCGTGGTAGCTCGTTCTAACTGGATATCTGCCTGCAAGCGTCCTGTCCTGTCACTCACATCACAAAGCCATGATCCTCGGCCCTTCACTAAGTCTTCCACTGTGTTCTTGGGAGCCTGGAATCATAATGAATAAAAGTTTCAACCAACACCAGGAATTTAGCTATTATAATTTCTATAATAATTTCTATTATAATTTCTTTTTCTCATTCAGCATATGACAGGATTTTACTTTTATAATACAAAGCCAGCATCCATGGTCAAAAGTTCTCCAAAGATTTCCAATTTGAGAGAAGAGAGAGAGAGAAGAGAGAGAGAGAGAGAGAAATTATTATATATTAATGTTATATATATACATACATACATATATATATATACAATACATACATAATTATATATATATATATATATATATCTTATATAGTAATATTTTAAATTAATATTATTTTTAATTTAAACAATTTTTAATTAAATGTTACATAACATACATACATACATATATATATATAATATATATAAGATATTATATATATATATATAATATATATATATAATATATAATATCATTTATATGTATACCATAACATACATACATACTATATATATATAAATATATATAGTATATATATTATATATAATATATATATATATAATATAT